AAAAATCCACGAAAATTCTACAAAATCCCACAGAATCCATTAAAATCCTGATTTAAAAGTCTTGCAGAATCCATTAAAATCCTGATTTTAAGTCTTGTAAAGTCCTGCAAAATCTTAAAAGTCATGAAAATCCTACAAAGTCTTTTAAAATCCGCAAGATTTTTTTTAACTAAAAAAGTCCTTTAAAATCCTAATCCAATACACCCCCCTAAGATGATTAATTAAAATATTAAATTTAATCTTAATATATTAAATATCATATGTTATCGTATACAAAAATATTTTTATAGATTTTTCTTCAATAAATAAATTATCAATAAAAAAATTGTGCTACAATATAAATTATTTATCATAAAAATAAAATATAATTTATATGTTTAAAAGTATTTATCTATATAATTTTAAAATATAATTTATATATTCAAACAATGTATTTATATATATATATATATATATAATATTTGTGTATTTTACATACTATAAAATACTAATTTATTACAATGTTCAAACAACTATAAAATAAGACTCTAAAAAATAAAGATTTATTAATATTTTACTAATCTTAATAGTTAGTTTACCCCAAGAATAAAATATTATTAATTTGATACAATTAATTAAAATTTATAACTAAAATCACAATATTTAGCTTCAACATTTTGACAGATGAAATTTTTGACCAAATATTAAATATTTTTTATGGATTCAATTTCTGGTAGAATAATCTGTTAGAAACCTTCTGTCAAAAATCATGAAATTTCCGATAAATTAATATCCATCAAAAAAATTTCATAAATTTTCACATTTTCGACAAATATAAATCTGTTGGAAATATTCCATCAGTAATATTAATTTTTCTACAAATTTTTTTCCATCTGTAAAATTCGTCGAAAATTTAAATTTTTCGATAGATTTTTATCCGTCAAAAATTTGCATTTCTCTTGTAGTGATTTTTCTTTAGAACATTATTTTCAAGGATTGTGTTTAATCTTGAAACTTTTATATTTAATTTTATTACATGTCTGCAGGAACAAATTGAAGTAGGATTGACTCAAAGCATAGTTAATGAATCTGAAGTTTCCCTTTTTGATGTTGTTAGTAGAGTGTTAGGATCAGAGCATTCTAGGAGAGTGTGATGCATGGGATTGGGAGTTGTTCTTTCTAATACATTAAATGATTCAAGAATAAAATCTTCGAGTTTCTAGCCTATGCTCTTCTTCAGTTGGTGTTGCCTTTCCATCTTCAAACCAATGGCAAGAAAAATACAATAATTTAGAATCAGCTTTTAAGGTCTACATGATAATGAAGGAAGGAAGGATCCTTGAAAAATTAGCTAGTTATTTCACTCTTGAAACACATGTAACTAATTATATTCATACATCATTATGTATATGAGAGGCATCCTTAAAACTTGTTAGTGTAATATATAATTTACTCTTAAAATTGTTTTATATATGTCCATAGTTAATTAATTTATTCATATTAGTAAGGAAATATATTTTGTAATTGGTAGGGGTGCTTATTAAGCTAATATACAGTTTTGTAGGTAGATTTTATAGTTAATCAACAATATTGAGCCACATCTCTTCATTAACATCCACTACAAAAAATCTAGTAATTATTGACGATTTTTGTTTGTAGTTTTTAATTGTCACAAATAATTAAATTTTGTGGGTGTTTAAAATCGCCACATGATTTTCCTTTGTTAGAAGGTACTACAAAATCAAATTTGTTAGGAGCGGGAAGAATTCCTTTCTCAACTTTTCCTTTTTGAAATTGGGACTTGAGTTGAGTCTCTTCAACTAAAAGTTCATTAACAACATAATCAACTGTTGGAAGAGGATTGCGGTGCAAAATTATCTACAAAGTCATCTCAAAGAGTCATAAAAAATTGGACCAAACGTTGTTCTTTTGTCTAATATATATAAGGTTTAAAAGCCTATAATTCTATAAATTTAGTAAGAGTCAATTGATCCTAAATATTTAACATAGTATAATAGAATTCCTAAATGCTCATGTTATTTAACTAGAGATCTCGAATGTCAATTTCTAATTCATATTACTTTGAGAAATTGGACTACACATACAACCTATTCAAATGGTCCCAAACCTCTTTGGTTGTTTCATACTTGTCAATTGAATCCCCATAGATTAAGGGAAAAAATTGTTAATCCAGGTAATTATCTTTAAATTGTTAGCTTCCTAAGATTCCAACTTAACTGCATATTTCTCACTTTGTTTGACCTTTGGCATAGCATATGCTCCAGACATGTATTCATGCATCCTTTTGCCTTTTGAGAAATTTTTTAAGACATAACTTCAATAAAGATAATTTTTCCCATTCAATTGCACACTTAATAGATTGAAGAGAATCATCTCGTTCACTAGTCATTGTTACAATCATAGTTAGAAAATTATAAATAGAGAACTTGCAAGAAAACTCCAATTTCTACAAATAGGTCACTATAAACCCTAAGTACAACAAAACCTTAAAACAAGAGAGTCTACAACAAGATCACAAAATATGCTCATAATCACTCAAACAAAGCTAAGCACAAAAGCTCACAATTGAAGTTAGAGATTAATAAACCAAAAATAGTAGGTACTATTTGAACCAAATAACTTTCGCACCGAAGCTTTTTTCACCAATCAAATCGTTGAACATAAAGAAATGAATGTGATGAACTAGCCGTCAAAAAACAACTCAATCCAACGATAAATGAATGTGCAATAGTATTTTTACTTAAAGTATCTAGTAAAAAAACGAGAATGACTTTTTCTTTTATCTTCTTTCTAATAAGCTTTTCTTACTAAAAGAGACATCTCTTTCTTGGATGCAATATCCTAAATCGAAACTTACTCTTGATACCATGTAAAGAATGCAAATGAAAATATTGAAGAAGAAGAATAAAGAAAAATAGTACTAAAAACATTTGTTCTATTTGATGCAACAATAAATTATAATAGAATTAGGGGTGGGCAAAACGAACTGAACTGAACTGAACTTATAAAAACTATACTGAACTTAAAAGTAGTTCATATGAACTGAACTAAACTAAATATTAGTTCAGACGAACTGAACTGAACTATTCTTTTGTGTCATTGAACTGAACTGAACTATACTATAAAAACTTGAACTAAACTGCAATTTAAACTGCACTAAACTGTTATGATATTTTGAATTGAACAATTTTGACTCATTTATCTATCAAAATAGGACACATTTGTCAACTTTACTTTATTTTCCATTTTATTTAAATTTTTCAAAGGAAAAATATATAAAATTAAGTCAAACAAACTCAGTGAATTTTAAGCCTAAAAATAAGTAGTTCAACATAGCTCAATTGATCCGTTAATTTCAACAAAATTGATACAATTTTTTTTCAAATCACTTTTTTTCTAAAATTTTGGTTATTAAACTATCGAGTTAATCTATTAAGACATAACATGTTAAACACATTTAATTTTTATTTTTTTATAAAAATAGTTCAATTTTTATAATTCAGTTTAGTTTTTATAGTTCAGTACAGTTCAACTTTACAACAGTTCAGTTCAATTCAGTTTTTTTTAAATAGTTCAGTTCAGTTTTTTTTACAAACAGTTCAGTTTTTTATAGTACAGTTCACCACCAGTTCAGTTCAGTTCAGTTCAGTTTAGTTTTTTTTGCCCACCCCTAAATAGAATAATTAAAGGAATATAAAGACAAAAAATAATAGAGTACTAAATTACCTTTAGTAAAATATGACAAAGCATAAGAATCTATTGGATCTATTATGTAACATAATTAAAAAAATTAAATCTAAATATTAGGAATTTCAAAAATTCCAAATTTAAAATTTTAAAAATCTTCGTCCGAATACAAGCTAACACTAACAAAATATGTTAGCGACAGCGACAATTGCTTTCTACATCAGCATCGAATGGTGCAGAAAGTAAAAGACTTGTGCACGAAGCAAGTGGGCCCTTTTTTATGAGCAGGCCCAAATTACAGCTATAGGCTGTAATTTTTTTTTTTTTCTTTCAATTTCTTAGTTTCTTGACCGAAACGTCACCATTTGCGGCGTCGTATTAAAGCGTCTCCGGTTACCAATATCAATCACCGAAGCAAAGTTCAGCACTTTACCAGCAAACACTCTTCCTTTTCGTGAAACAAAAGAAAACCTCGCATTATGTCCGGCATGGAGAGGCTGCAGAGGATGTTCGCGGGTGCAGGGGGAGCCCTGGGCCACCCCCCACCCGATTCCCCCACCCTCGATTCCTCCGAGCAGGTTTACATCTCCTCCCTCGCGCTTCTCAAAATGCTCAAACACGGTAATAATTCTCAAAATCCTCTTTTTCTCGATCCCTTTTACCGTGTTGTTTTTTTGACCTAGGAATTTTGAAAACCCTAATTTGTGCAGGGAGGGCTGGTGTGCCCATGGAAGTGATGGGTTTGATGTTGGGCGAGTTCGTGGACGAGTACACTGTTCGCGTTGTGGATGTGTTCGCGATGCCTCAGAGTGGGACCGGTGTTAGCGTTGAAGCCGTTGATCATGTTTTTCAGACTAATATGCTCGATATGTTGAAGCAGACTGGAAGGTACCTTTTTCTCTTCGTTTAGGACATGTTTCGATAATCTTATCCAAAAGTACTTCAAAGACAGAAAATTAACAAGGAAATTTGAAATAAGTTTCTCTCAAAGCTAAAAGCTAGTTGATGTACAAGATAAAAATAAAATTTTGGAGAAGCTACTAGGAGAGAACTATAAATTAGCTTATGGGAAAACTTGTTTCACTGTCTTAGACGTACTTATGGAGAAGTTTGCCCAAACAGGCGCATAAATGCACGTGGATTATTTTCTGTCGGTTAGTTGAATATTGAAACGTTGACGTTTTGTTAGTGCAGGCCGGAGATGGTTGTGGGGTGGTATCACTCTCATCCTGGATTTGGGTGTTGGCTTTCTGGAGTGGATATTAATACACAACAGGTTTTTGGCTTCTTCTTCTTCTGCTTTGGTTTATCATGGCAGCATGTGTTTGTGATGTTGCACTGTTTTTTTTGGTTGAGAACTAAGTGGACAATTCCTAGATGTATTTAAAATTTGTTTTCTTTTTGCAAATGAAAAGTCTTTGAACGATCTGATTTAAGTTGTGGTCGTGGTTGTGGTTTTTTTTTTGATCCTGTATAGATATTGTGGGATATTGCAAAAGAATGTAGCCAATTCAGCCACAATTGCTGTCGTGTTATGGTTGTAGAGACCCCAAAAACCTTAATTGTTGCCAAAATGACTGATTTTTAAACCCTTGGATACATCTTTTAAAGAAAATTACAGATTTACAGAGGGATGCAAAAAGTGAGGAGATTCTGCTGAGTAGTTACATAAACAATATGTTTTATTTTAATTAATCATTTACATTTATTACTTCATCTATATATCTATTATTTACCGAACATACAAATTGAATTATGATTTCTGTGGAACTTCTGAGCCAAAAGTGTAGATGGAAAATTACCTTCATTTTTTTTTATTGGTAATATGGATGCATGGACAAGTGATATCCTTGCTTATGTTGGGATGTTCATAGTTTCATATGAAAGAAACATTAATTGATCAAAACACTTTTTTATTAGGTATATAGGGATGTGCAAAAGGGAGAGGGGGTGGGTTGCCTGGTGTATGAATCTCTTAACATCATAATTGCATCCCAATCTTAGATTGGGGCTGGTTCTAGTTGTGAGCTATAAGCGTGCTGGATGAGGGATGGAAACTTGAGAAGTAATACTGCTTGGCATAAAGTTGTACTGCACTGTTTTCTATTGAATGTTGATAAGAGAAAGTTTGAGTATTTTCATTCTTGGGATTTAAGTAGCTGCAATAGGATTAAGAAAAGTTGGTAGGATGAACTCTTATTTCCAAAATTCAAAGTTTAGTTTATAATGATGAAATATGAATCACTGGGACAGTTAGTGGTTAAAAGTTAAAACTCACTGTAGATTGAGAAAATTTAATTGTGGAATTTTGTTAATTCAGATAAGGCTCTTAGTTTTAGAAAGTTATAGATAATATGTATGTACTTTTATCTGATGTAGAGTTTTGAGGCTTTAAACCAACGGGCAGTGGCTGTGGTGGTAGATCCTATTCAGAGTGTTAAAGGCAAAGTGGTGATTGATGCTTTCCGGCTGATTAATCCACAAACTATGATGCTGGGTCAGGAACCACGACAGACAACTTCCAACCTGGGTCATCTAAACAAGCCATCTATCCAAGTGAGTGTTTCTGATATTCCATTAAAAAGCTTAGTCACTGTTCTGTTTCTTGTTTGCCTTTTTGTTACTTATTTTCACTTTGTTATGTCCTTTTTAGGCTCTGATCCATGGCTTGAATAGACATTATTACTCCATAGCAATTAATTACAGAAAGAATGAGCTTGAAGAGAAGATGTTGCTTAACCTTCATAAGAAGAAATGGACTGATGGTTTGACACTCAGGCATTTTGATTCACATTCTAAAACTAATGAACAGACTGTTCAGGTAAGTTAAGATTTTTCAATGTGAAATATAACTGTAGATCATTCAAACTTCTCTTTGTTGAATTTATTGCATATATGAGACCTGCATAAATAATGTTCAAGTTTCATCATCCTGTATGTATCCTAGATATATGGCCAAGTACTGTTTAAATGTTAACACACACATTCCTGACTCTCTTACACCAACAATTAATGATTGATATGGTACTCAATTGGAGATTCTGCTGACATGGTTTAGTAAATTCAGAAACATACTATACTAGTTATTCCTTTTCTTGATACTTTCTGTTGTTTCTTTGTCTCTCTCTGAACTTCTCCTCTCTACCTCCTAAAGAGATTTAAAATGAAATGGTTTTCACTAATTAGTGTAAGCATGAAATACATTTATAAAAATAAGAATGCAAATTTAATTCAAAAACTCCAAGCTATCCTATAGATATGGAAAGAATACAATAATTGTGATGCACTTCATTACTCCAACATGCCCCAGCATGATGAAGGGAAGGATTGGGCATTATGAATTGTTACATCAATCATGGAATGACAAATGAGAAATAAATGACAGTCTTGATAACAGTTTGGTGAGAAATATAAAAAAAATTAATTGTAAATCATGTTGGCTACTAGAACAAATCGATAAACAATGACCAGATGTTTTTTCATATACATAAATATATTGCTCCAAGGCTGATCTAGAAAATTGTAGAAGTGGTGAAAGAACAGAGGCCAAGTTTGGAAAGTTGATGCAACCAAAAGGTAACTAAGCCACATGTAAAAATTGACTCAGGTGGCCTAGATCTTTGAGAGAAAACTTAGGGCCTTTTTAAAGTGGTATAGAAAAGTAGAATTATTCCCTATCAGAAGATTTTAAATATATTCAAGAAAATAGTTAGTCTTTGGACCATTTTGATAAATAAGGAAATTTAACAGCATGAGTTTGTGAAGCCATAACCAAGAAGAAAATTCAAGTTCATGACACCAAGCATGGGTTCATGTTTGTGGCCATAGAGAGCTTAGTGAGCTTGCAAGTATGGTTCAATAAAGATGAATCAATGATCCTAGTGGTTAGGCTGCATACTCTCCAAGGAGAGTGCCATGCAAAAAGGTATTGTTGATGTCCATCTGAGTTATAGATCATTCTTGTGAAAGCAACTATGCATGCACCATTTCAATAGTTTGAGGTTGAATGACTGGACTAAAGGTGTTTTGAAAGCCAATGCTAAAGTGTTAATGAAAGCTCTTTTTAACAAGACTAGCTTTGTGGTGAGAATAGAGTAGTTTTGTCCTTGTGTGATTCCTCAGTTTTGAAAACATAATTGATGCTGGTAATTTTGTAAAGAGATTGAGGTGGACAGGAGTCCATATATTGTTTTTCACGAGAGCTATAAATTTCTCTTAACCATAGATACCAGGTACATGGTTCGTGTAAGTATGCAATTCATTACTTTTAACATTGTTATCACAAGACTCCTTTTAAGGTGAACCCAGAATGGGGTAATAAGTTGTACTGCAAAGTCAAGTATGCTGTACATGAGGTTATTGAGAGAATTCTGTAACTATGATCATACATTGTTTGCTTCCATTTAGGGCTTCTTAGAGCTTGTGAGACACGTGGACTCCACTGTGTTTGGTATGGGATATTTAGTGATTGAATTTAACTGTTCAGTATTTAAAGCTCGGTATTTGGTGCGTAGTTATTGCTATAGTAACATAGTGGTGCAAAGCAGCCATGGTCTGGCTCAAGTATAGATACTTGAGCAAATGTTAATTTGAAATTAATGGATTAAGTGTATAATATAATATAATATAATTAAAAGCAACCTAGCTTTGCAGGGGGGCTGGTGGAGTGCAACAATAAAACCTTAAAAGGCAAAAAAAATAAAAAATAAAATAAAACTGCTACTCGTGGGTAAAAAATGTTAGAAGTTGAAGCAGACACTTTTCCATAACCTGTATATGCACGTTTGGTTGAGATTAAATTGCTTATTTTTCGAAAACTCTCTAGAAACAGACAAAAATAAATTACTTTCTTCAAAATAAGTTAAAACCAAACCTACTAGTTGGTATTATTTTTAAAGAAATAATTGCTTATGTTTCAAAGGTTTTCTCAGGAAAACAAGTATTAGTTTTTAAAATTAGTTGAATTAATTAAACACGAATTCAGGAAGTAATATATATTTTTTTTTTTTGGTATTTCAGGAGATGCTAAATTTAGCAGCAAAGTACAACAAGGCAGTGCAGGAGGAAGACGAGCTGCCACCAGAAAAACTTGCAATTGCAAATGTGGGAAGGCAAGATGCTAAGAAGCACCTTGAAGAGCATGTTTCCAATTTGATGTCTTCAAACATTGTTCAGACTTTGGGAATGATGCTCGACACAGTTGTTTTCTAGAGTTTGCATAGTCCAATGTATTCTCCCTTAAAATGGTTAGCAACATTTCATTAATACTCTGGACAAGTTTGTTAACAGAAAACGTTTCATCCAAGCTTTTGCATTCTGTGCGTTCATTTAAAATGTCGAAGCAACACGAGTTAGAGAATGAGAATCACACTTCAATCTCTCTTGATGTAATGGATATCTTCATAATCCTGTACTAGAATTTTATTTATTTATTTGGCAGCAGTAGGATTTTCTTTCTATATAAACAGTGTTGATTCAGTCGTAAGTGAAAACACACTGAGCCATTAAAAACTGCGTGTGAAAGCAGTATAAATTTACAATATTTCTATGTAATTAAAGTAGGATGTTGTGTAAAAGTCAGTAGTCTTTTATGACAGGACTGTATAAGCAAATTACAAAACGAATTACATAGTATGAAACTCGATTCACAAATGAAATGGAATTACACTAATGGATTGGCTTATCTTACATGGTTACAAACCTTGTGCTCAAGCAGCAGCATCAACATATAATACAGATTAGAAACACCAGACTCTTGGACATTTAAATTGAAGGAGGGGGGTCTCTGTTGTAGAAATGAGCCAAGCATTTGATCAAATCCTGTGCATTCTCGCTTCCCAAATCATGAAGATGAAAAGAATGACCCTCCCCTTGAGTCTCCATAATTTCCACCACACCCATCCACCCACTCCGACTCAAAGCATTATAGTAAAGCCACCCTCTATCCCTCAACACATCCTTCTCCGCCACACACACCAGCACCCTCCCACACCCCAGCCACGCCAAACTGGGTGCACCCTCTCCCACCGGGTTAACCCGCGGGTCATCATTATCCGGCATCTCTGGACAAACAAAGGGCCACAACCGTTCCACCACGGCCTTCCTATCCGGATCCAACGCCTCCGACCCGATTGGAACCGAACCCCAAAAGTAAGGATGGACCATACAAACTCCAAGAATGTCCAAACCAAGGTTCCAATCCGGGTCCCCAAGTAGCATAGTCACATTATGTACTATGTTAGCACCAGCACTATCCCCAGCCAAGAAAACTCTTCCAAAGTCTACATGGTCATTCAACCAAGGCTCGGGTCCATTGTTACTCCGGTGGGACGCAACCCACTGTAGTGCAAGCCATGAATCCTCGTATGCAGCTGGGAGAGGGTGCTCCGGAGCCAGCCTGTAGTGAACGGAGAGAGCAACGACTTTGGCCTCGGCAACCACTGCGGTTATGTAGTTGTGGTACTTAGCGGTGAAGGGGGAGGAGGCGCAGAAGCCGCCACCGTGGAAGTAGACCAAGAGGGGGAGGCTGCGGCGGCGGTTGGAAGTGGGTTGTGGCGGAGGGAGGAAGAGGCGAGCGGAGAGAGTGGAGTGAGGGTGGAGAGTGATGTCTTTGGATGAGACCGAGTGAGTGGAGGTGGAGGGTGGAACCACGTCGGTTCCGGTGAAACGCTGCACACGTCCATCGGTGAAGACGCGAATGAGCCCCGGAAAATCGTGTGCTATTTCTGGGGTGGTGGTTGAGGTTGATGCTTTGTTTGCGTCGTTGTTCATGCTGTAGCAGACAGTTGGAGATAGCTTTCGATTTGGATGGTGTTATGTAGTTACGTTACTTTACGAGGACTATCCTCCACTTATGTTTTGTGGCCACTTGGTACCATCAATACGATAAGGTGACGTATGAGTGTGGATTTTATGACACCGTAATGTTTGATTGAACTTAGGTGAATGTTCAAAATAATTTGGCCAGCTTTTACTTGTTCAAAATAATAGTTTGTTCAACGAGGCTTTATCGAATTAAGATGACTTTCTTCCAAAATAAATGAGTTTTCATTATTTAATGTTTAAATTGCTCATGATCGGTCTAATAACAATGGTCAATGCCTAACTGTCTTTACACTTTAATCCAACTCCATCACTCAACCCCCCACTCACTACCCAAGTATAATTACTCCCTTCATTTTTTATTCATAGTCGTTTAAGGTTTTGTACGAGACTTAAAAAAATGATTGATATTTTAGTTTTTAAAAATATTTATTACTTACTTTCCTATTCTACCCTCTATTTTTTTATAATATTTTGTTAGAAATATATTGTCCTTTTAAATGTAATATTAACTTTACATAGGTGATTGAAGAAAAAATAGGTAGATATTAGAAATAAATAGACACATTGTTCAGTAAACATACATTAATTATCAAAGATAAAAATGAGAAAAAAAATTAATAAGTCATTAATTTTAGTAAAATGACAATGAAAAAAAATGACAAATTCTGACAAAACGACTATGAATAAAAAACGGAAGGAGTATCTAACTATGGCCGATGGTTACATAGAATTGAAGAAAGACAAAATTTAGCTGAAGCTTCTTATATGTAGTTAATTTTATTCTTTGACAACTGTTGGAATTTTATTTTACTTATATTTTCATTATATATATTTATCATTTTATGATGAAAAAATATCATCAATAATATTTAAGGGATTATACTTAAATTTTGTCTTTATCTTTCCAAAAATGTAAAATTTAAGTTGAATTTAAAATGATTAATGATTCTACAATAAATATTTTATTTACTTATCTATCACATTATTTATTACATTTTAATTTTTTTTCTTCTCTTTATTGAAATTTTCTTTCAACTCTCTTTATTGCAAATGTGGTTGTCAATATCTTAATGACTATTGGAAATCTCCAAGCTCATTAAAGCAAGGGTTAATTCATATTGAAACTCAATAATTTGATAATTCATATCATGGTCATCCAAATATCTTCAAGCTCCTCAGTCCTCACACATGAACAAAGACAATTCCACTGTTCACTGAAAACAAAGCTTTGGTCGGATGTTATAAAAAATTTCTTGTTCATATCCGAGATAAATACTCCTTCATGGGATTCCAAGAAGCTCATGCCAAATAAATATGACTTTCAAGTTTCAACCCTTTCATGTTTCACATGTTTAAATATAAGAATTTTTTTATAATGTTTTTTATTTTAATTTTGACATAATTATGTTTTTAAGTCCGTCAAAATTGGGCTATATATATATTTTTCTTCATATTTAAAACTTGTATTTGTATTTTTAATCTTCAAAAAATATATATAAAAAAATTATTTTGATACTCAAATTTAACATTTATCTTTTTAGTCTCTATAACTTTTTTAAAAAATATATTGTATTAGTCTTTCAAAGTCACTAATAACATGACTAACAATGACAAATTGAGATAGTTATGTAATATGAGTTGATTTAAAGTGATATTTTTATAATAAGGATATTAATAATAAGAGAATTATGTGTGACAGATTCATTAATAGATGAGTTTTATTTGATAGATTTAATAATGACAGTTGAATAAAGATTAAAATAATATTTTTGATATTTTGGAGACTAAAATCACAAGTTTTAAATTTGATAGACTAAAAAAAATTATATAGAGAGAATAGACTATGGTAATAATTTTTGAAAGATTAAAATATTTTTTTGGTCTTTATAGTTTTACTTATTTTACTTTTTAGTCCCTATAGTTTAAAATAAACTCTTTTAATCCTTAAACTTATCTTTTTTTAATTATTTTTAATCATTATAGTTTAAAATCAATATTTTTTAGTCTTTATACTTGTAGTTTTTTAATCCTTGTAGTCTCTATCATACTTGTAATTTTTTAATCCTTTCAATTATTACCATTTAACTTTTTTTGTGATGTTGTCTATTTTGTATTAATGTGATAGAGGTTTTCAATTTTGTAAAGGTAAAAGAAAAAAAAAAAGTATCTCAACAATGGATGTCACATACTAAAGTACAAAAGAAACATGAAGCAGCAAAATAAATTCAACATCAAACACATAAAGTTGAATTAATACTTTTGTCATATCATTATAAAAAAGATGTTACAAAAAAAAGATAAACGATATAGACTAAAAAGATTAAAAACAACAAGTATAGGTTTTAAAATATTTATTTAGGATTAAAAATGATTGAAAAAGATAAGAATATGAACTAAAATTGTATATTTTTAGATTATAAAGATTAAAAGATAAAATGAAATTAAAAACTAAAAAGTATTTTAACCTTTTTAAAATTACAAGAGCTAAAAATATAAATTTTAAATTTAAGAAAATAAATATATACTCCAACTTTAAAAAATTAAAAACATAATTAAATTATTATTATTTTTTAATAATTTTGATGGTCTATATTAATTTTGCGAAAAGAAAGAAAGGTTAAGGGTGGATGAGAGAGAGATAGAATTGGGCTATGTGGTGGTCGAGAAGGCCCAGTACCAGATGTTGCTGTTGGGAGTTTTTTCTTTGGTGGTGGAAGAACAAATTCAGTGACACGAAGTTTTGTACCCCCAGCAATATACCAACTAAAGTATATTTTCATGTCAAGTATTTGGGAAACTAAGGTCCTTTAACAATAAATTTTACTATATGTTAAAACATCAGAAAAAATAGTTGAATTAATCACCCAATGTTAAAACCTGGATAATATTAGTTTCTTAAATATACATTAGTCATTAAATTAATAATTAAATATATATCTTACTTTTATCAACAAGTAGTTAATAAATCCAATTTTATTAAGTAAGGTCTTAAGTTTAAGTTTTGTACATGAAAAAAAAAATATGTTTGAAAGAAAAAAAAATCTACTAAAAATGATTTGATTTCATCAAATTTTGTATATAAAAAAATATATTTAAAAAATGAAACTCTACTAAAAATAGTCAGATTCCTTAACAAAAATCAATAAAAAATAATAATAAGGCTGTGAGAGAGATAAGACCTTCCCCTTAGGCTTTGATTGAATTTCTATATTTTACTTATATATATATTTAAAATGATAATTTAAATTTAAATTATTCAGTTTTAATATTTTGTTATATTATTTGTAATTAATTTACTAATATGATTGGACAATTTAAAATATTATATATGTATATATATATACTTATTTAAAAATTATAAAAATATTTTGTTTAGGTTTATTTTGGAATCCAAAAGCAGATTGAAATGAATAAAGAGATTTAATATCATAAAAACAATACGATCTATAAAATATATTTTGATGAAAATAATAATAACAAAATCACAGATTCAGTAAAAAAAAAATAGTTATTTTGGTTCTTAAAAAAAAAATAATTACTTTAATTTTTTCTTATTTATATGCATATCAAATCAATTTTTTACTCACAGATTACTTTAAAATATGAAATCAATTTGTACTTTTTTATTTGAATTGAACTAAAAATTAAGTTTTAGTAAGCAAATTTGTCATCCTGTTTTTTTTAATAAACAAACAAATACTAATACTAGAAAATAAAACCCTATTAAAAGTATTCAATTATATTAAATTGATTCTTTTAAAATGTATTATTAATGTAATATTATTAACATTAATTGTAATTATTGTTATTATTATAAAAAAAAAATTAAATTATTTTTTTTTAATTTTTGATTTTAGATCTTGTATGTAATAAAGAAGATTGTTAATAACAAACTATCTAATATACACTCTATTATTAATTAAAACTTATTGAAAGATTATAAAAATTTGGGGGCTCTCTTTTATATTCTTTGGTGTCAACATCTAACACGACCCTATTAATAATAGGCGAGATCAATAAATATTTCATGTGGTTATCCAAAAAATTATATACTTTACTTTTCAAAAAATTTAATGAAAACTTCATCCTGTATAACAAATGAGAAATTAAAAATAATATATCCACAAATTTTTATTTATTTATTTATTTTTACAAACATTTACTGCATGTTAAATATTTGATTAAAAAAAAAAGGGGCAGAGGAGTGTTGGTAGGTCGCGCGAGCCATAGCATCTTCCTAATTGCGTTGCATATTGCAGAGTGTTGAGTTGAGATGGAGAGAATGATGCGACTCAGATCACTCATCCGATCACTGAGTTCCAGATCTTATCATTCCTTCGCATCCACCAGCCATTTCGCGCTTCGACCCTCTCTTCTCTCTCGCCCTCACAATCCCCTTCCTTCTTCCTCAGGTACCATTTCCTCTTTCTCTTTTCCATTAGGTTTTCGTTTCGGATCTCTCATTCCACGTTTTTCGCACTTTATTCCGCTGCGTTGAATCCGCTTTCCTTTGTCTTTAAGAATTGAGTTAAATTAATCTGATTTCATCGCATCGCTGGTTCAATCCATGTTCAATGTGCTCGTATCATGTATGAAGGTTACACGGATAAGATGCTAGTCTTCGTATTCCGTTTATTTTGCTGGAATAGCGTTTTCTAAGTTATTTGCCCGACTTCGATTTGCGACTAACTTCACAACTCAATCAATCCATTGTTATAGCCTATAGTATTATTGACTTTGTGTCCTGGTTACAGAATTGACGTACCGTGGACAATGATTTTCGTGTGTTGCATCGAAAAGGATGCTGTATGTTGTTCATTCTGGACATGCTTTGTAGTTTTGTGAGGCTCTAGACTAAGATTCTGCGTAAGTATATCTAGGAGAAGAAAATAAGAAAACAAAATGAATTAAGCTTATCTCATACCGTGCAAGGAAGAAGCAATCGTCACCTTATACGTCAAATATGTAGGATCGAGTAAGATTTAAACTGAAATTTTTAAGATGGTATCAAAGTCTGTTTAACGATTTTTGTTGGCTAGTTGCCTCTATCTTAGCGATTGTTGTTGGGCCTATCAAGACAAGAAACACATTTATGCAAATTTGACGTTCAAAACGTCCGGTGCTCGGTGTGAGATGTGTTAAAGATCTAGCATTGACTAGTGATATAACTAAACAAATAGAATATATAAATGCAAAATAATTTTTATGTTATAAGTCGTTTTTGTAAGGTTGAGTTAGACCCTAACTCACATTCTTAATATCTAAAATCAATTTATGCACCTTAGTTCTTGGAGAAGTTTTACACAAGAGAGCTTCCATAAAATTTAAGCACATGAGTTGATTCTAACTTGTGAGAAAAACTAAATTCATTTTACCTTCTTAATTTCTTCTTTTAGAGTGCTTATAGAAAAGTTTATCCAAGCTAGGGTTATGTTGATTATCTGGCTTTGTGCTAGAGTGTTGTACCTGAGGATGGATGATATATGCTAAATTAGTTTTGCATGAAAAAACATGAACAGAATGCAGGCCTCCTTTCTCAATGGGTTTAGGGAGAATGCGTTTCTACAGTGAAGATGTCACTCACATGCCTAATATTAAAGACACTGAGCTTTACAATGCTTTCAAGGATTTGATGGCTGAAAGTTGGAGCGAGCTTCCAGACTCTGTTGTTCATGGTGTTAAGAATGCGCTGTCTAAAAACACTGACGACAAAGCTGGCAAGGAGGTTGTGGAAAATGTGTTCCGTGCAGCTGAAGCTGTTGAGGAGTTTGGTGGGATTCTAGTCTCCTTGAAATTGGAAATTGATGACAGCATTGGAATGAGTGGCGAGGTATTTCAATTTAAACATGAACCTTTAAAATTGAACCATTGTGTTCTATTTTCATTCACCCATCATAATTGGCTGATGATTTGATTTCTTTCTGTAGGATGTAAAGCCATTGCCTGATCATATAAAAAATGCTCTGCGTACCATTTTTGATCGCTACTCCACCTATTTGAATTCCTTTGGACCTGATGAGAGCTATCTGCGTAAGAAGGTGGAAATAGAATTGGGCGCAAAGATGATTCATTTAAAAATGAGATGCAGTGGCCTTGGGGCTGAGTGGGGAAAGGTATCATCTCACTCATTATTGCCTATTTATGTAGTAGTATGTGTTTCCTTTAAAAAAAAAGATGTAATAGTATGTGTATGGTGTCTAAAGGGGAGAATTTATAAATGAGCTCTAAAGCAGCAGTGTTCTGTTAGTTTTCAGTGTTCTATGCACTGTTTCTCTCCTCTCTTTTTTTTTTTCACTTACAAGACCTACGTTTTAAATCTCAAGCCCATCGGCTGAATGAGAAATATGAGGTGAGGCATACAGATTACAGAAAAATGTCACTTTCACGATAATTAGCAGCTGCCACACACACCCTGTAGCTGCCACCATGGCACTGCCATTTGAGGTTTATGGTGAGGGATCCCCAAAACCAGCATGGCAACCATCATCAACAACTCTGATTTCCAGTTTTTGTGTGCACTTACAAGTTGCAACATGGTTTAATTTTTTAGGTCCTTGAAAAATGTGGTTAAATGTTATTGTATGTCACGTTTGCTGGAATATCATTTCAACTCTTTTGCATGTGCTTTCTTAAATTTCTCCTTGCATTATTAGGTTGGTAGTCTATCCTTTATAGTTTTCTAATAAGAACAATGTTTAGTATGGATATGCTTTCGGAAAATAACTCTAGAAAGGAGAAAAATGTAAGGATATTTGTTGTGTTCTATCAATTGCGTTTTTTATTTTCATCTTTGCTTTTTTCCTTTTTCCACCTTGATTTGCTACTAATTTTAGTTTTAGCCATTCATGATAGTTTTTTATTTGTTAATACTTTGATGAGAAATAACATTGCTACAAGATAAGAATTGCAGACCAATTCCCGTTCCCTTATCTAATCCGATATTTCTGTTGCAGGTTACGGTTCTTGGAACTTCAGGACTTGCGGGTTCATATGTGGAGCAAAGAGCATAGAAGAAATATTTTAGAAACAGTGCATGTAATTGTTTGTTCGTGTTTTATATCATGTTTTTCATGCCTGTAGACCCTTCGATTTGTTTTTTCCTGACCCTTTTGTTATCAAGCGTTTGATAGCATGGAAATAAGAGCCCTTAACTTTGTTAACTGGGATTTGTCCTCAAACAGCGCTTTCTTTCATTCTCAATGTCATTTTCCATAAGTTAACAATGTTGGTGAACTTTTAAGAACTTGTATATATCTTCTTAGACGATATGAAAATGACAAGTCAACAAGTGAATTAATTGTATCGAGCTACTCAGTTGTATCTGCATCCAGCGTCTGCAAGTACCTAACAGAAAAAGAAATGCTTCTAACACTTTTAATCACATTTTACTATTAACTAAAATTTATTTATTGAAAATCATAACATTTTATGGATCTTAATCTAATGAATTCCTTTTATGATTTTAGAGTTTTCATTTTAGCTAGTAATAATGTGTTAGGGAGGGCTACTAATACTCCTTGTAAAAAAAAAAAAAAATCCATGGTTCAAATGCATCTTTATTAGTGAATGTGAAGACATTTGCATTAGACAAATCAAGGAAATTCGTCCATGGCCAAGCAAGCAAAAGCAGGAGCGGGGAGAGTTTATACTTTTCCCGCCATTCTTTTGGCCTTGCCAAATGAATAAACTGAATATAAATGTTATTTTATCAGAATAGTATTGAAATTTATTCCATTTGTTATGAAATTAGATGATATAAACGGCACCTTTAAAATTTTTTGTGTGTGCGCAATAAGGAATGCTCTCTCTTAACAATTAAAGATTAATCCCTTTATATATATCAGACAAAAAACTGAAGCTACATTTGTTTGATTCAAATAATGGAATGATAAATTGCTAAAGTCAGCCCAATAGTGAAAATTGGGATAGATGCATGAGTATTTAGGTTAGATTCTCATTTTCATCGTTGTAATTTTTCTTATTGATAAAAAAAAAAGGAATGATATTCTTGTAATAAAATGATCTGATTGAATGAATAGTTCTCATCTCAATTTGACCATTTCAGTCAGTTAGCAATCAAAGATGGTGTCATTTTGGACACAGATTGTGAGCAATCAAATATTAGCCAATAGAAATAGTTTATATATGAAGCTTGAGCTACCCATTATTCTATAATCTTCAACCAAGTTCTCTTACAAGTCCAGATATCATTGGAACAGGGAATGACAAAACAAGATAAAAAGAAGCAAAACACATTCAGGTAACTTTGGTACTTGGTTGCATTTTACGCGACAACCATGACTCAGAGGGTGACTTAGGCAGTGGTGGAAGCAACACAGCCTTACGGCACAGCCCAAAAGGCCACCCCTCACAGTGGCAAAACTCTTGAATTATCGAACGCCTCCAATATTCTGACATGTCAACCTCATTCATGCTTGAATATCTAGACAGGTTTGTCTTCACAGAATAGAATGCTTCTCCACTCGCAGCACTCGAAGAATTGCACGAGAGACAACTTTTAACTGACAAAAACTCTTCCCTTTCATCGTGTTCTTCATGATCACCTACTACCACCACCCTTGCTTGTGGTGCCATTGTGTGAGTCACATAGAGTTCCCTTGTTGCAGGAGAATATGCAAAGGAAAAACCTTCTCTCAATGGGCTTGCCTTGTGCTTTTGTTTTTCCATGGCTCGGCTTCTAACTGCTGAGACAACCACCTGAACCAGCAGCAGAAAAGAACAATCACAATGTTACTTCAATACATGGAATTCAACTTACAGCATATTTGGAACAACGTTACGTAATCGCATCAACGATAAGATAAATCATGTCAATAGGTTCAATTGATGCAGAAGCTTCTTCTTATTGCATCTGTTGAGCATGGAGAGAGCAATGATTTAAGTAAATGTTCAAAAGCTTTTGCATTAGATAAAAAATTGAGTTTTACTATCTAACTTGCTTTTAGAACAAACCGTATTCATTCAGAATCAATTTTGCAGACACTCTCCCAAATACACTATATGACTCTATGGATCAAAGTGAAGAACTTCTCGAAAGGGTTTGATGAAAGTACTTCAAAACATGGAATCAACTTAACAACGTGTTGGAATCCACCTTAGATGATCCAGAATCACGTTGAAATACTAGTTAACATGATCTAGGTAAATTTTCAAACAAGTCTAAGTAGCTTTTGCGTTAGATATATTCTTTTATGAATTTTACAATCTAACTTGCTTTTAGAATAAATCATATTCATTCAAAATCAATTTTGCAAACACTCCCTAGACACACTATGTGACTTATATTGATCAAAGTGAAAAACTTTTGAAAAGGGTTTGATGATGAAAATACTTCCTGTTCCTCATCAACATCATCAATGATGGGACACTCCTCCTCAAGGCTTGCAGATGAAAGCCTTCGACCAAAAGCTTGACAGTGGGAAAATACTTCTTTCAAAGCCTCTCCAAGGAATTTGCTTCTCTTGGTATGGTTTGGTGGCTCTTCATGGTAGAAGACACCACCCATGGCGTAAAATACTTGATCAACTTTTCACATGAGATGATATATATTGAAGTAGTGGAAATACAAACAAAAACACTTTATGTTGATTCTCAAATTGATCTGCCTCATTGATAGTGGCCCCTAAACCCCCACTAATAAGCTTTCCGCTCTTTAAGGTAAAGGCAAGTGAAAATGGGCTAAAATTACAAACACTTTCAATGAATGGAAGGAAAATTCAACTTTGATTCAAATACTTGTTTGACTGCTTCAAATGGCAAACCCTTTTGGTAACTTTGGTCAATTTGTTTTGGTGATTATCTCTCTCCGTAAGAAGTGGTGCTTGTTCAGAGTTACACTTGAAGCTAAAGTCATGCTTAACAGGACGTGCCACCGAACACAAGATACTGCTATATGTATTTGATGAATTTGTTTGTGTTAATTGGTTAATGGTTACCGTCCAATTCAAGATACTTTGTGCAAAAATAATAATGCAGAAAGGGACAAGAGCATCGCTACGTTTTGCGCTAAGTGGCCCTATTGCATCGCATGACATGAAAGGGGATTCTGTTGTACGTGCAAAAAGATTTCGAGGAAAAGTAAAAGTGAAACCATTAATTTCCTTCTATGCTCTATACTCTACATGTTTCTCCCATGACCAATATGGCAACATCTCATATTCGTAGAATAAATAAATATCTTAATTAGTTTCTGACAAAAATATATTAGTCTTGAAAAATAAAATAAATAAAACTCATTACAAATATAAATTAAAAACACTTTTGAAAATTTTTAGAGTATTTTTTTATGCTCTAAACTTTATTTGAAGGACGCTTAGTTAATATAGAAAAGTGAATATATTTTCACTAATATATGAAACTGATACAACATACATAGGAAAAGGAGATTAATTATCTAAACTAAAAAATCCAAAGAATAACTCTTCCTATGAATGCTATAGCTAAAAAACGGAAAGAAGGAAATACATCAAATCCTAATATTAATTATACAAATTAGACTGCATTAATTCTAGATTTTCTTAGATCAAATTCCATGATCCCGATTGTTTTCCTCATTTATCAACAATTTCAAATTAGTATTCATCAGCTAATAACGATGTACATGAACCCTTATCTCCACGGCAGAATAACGTTGTTTCCTTCCATTTTGCTCAGGTTGCACTGTTTGGTAGCAAGGCACAAGTAGAAAATCAAGACATATTCAAATCTTTTTAAGAAGCTAATAATCATAGATTTCACATCCTAAATGTGATTTCTTTCTTTTCAACTGGTGTAGATACATTGTTTATCACTTCTTACATCATTATTATTACATTAAATTTTTTAAATATCCATAACTATAACCTGATTGTAATTATTAATTATTAATTTCTAGCAATATAAAAAAAAATGACAAATTCGCGCCCGTAATTCAAAAACTTGGCTCATACTATTTAACACAAATTTTCTTTTAACACAGTTAGCGAATGTTACATTGTGCGTTCAATTGAACCCTATGCTTGCATTCTAAACCTAACACAGAGCAACGAAAATTGAAACTACGAGAATCTTCAATTGGAATGAAATTGAGTGCAACACAGAAACAATTCAGAATTGAAGAAGATTCACGCAACTATTTGGAAGAAGAGTCTCGAAGGTGTTGAGAAGCGAGGGAGATGAGCGAGTTGAGTTTGGCGAGAGCGGCGGTCTTATCGGGCGGACACTTGGCCAGAGAGAGGTTCAGCGAGCGGAGCGCCTCGTCCAGCTTCCCGGCGGCCAGGGCGGCGCAGCCCGCCTTGTAGGCCTCGTCCGCCACGCGCGCGTCGTGTCCCTCGTCGGCGTCCAGCGCGGCGGCGGCGCGCGAGTATTCGAGGTTGGAGATGGCGGAGTCGATCTCCGCCATGAGCGCCTCCGGCGTGGCGGCGATTATCTTGACGCCGTCGAAGACGTTCCAGTGGACCTTCGGCGAACCCGATCCCATTTGGATGGTCACAAGATGTGCGTGATTCGTTGCATTAGTTTGGTGAGTTGATTACTGATTTTTCTTTACCACTCATCTCCAACCCTAGTTTTTGGGGCAACCATGTGAACTCAACCCAACAATTTTAATATCATCCTTAATATCTTTACTAATAATAAAAAAAATTATCATTTTTATCTTTTTATTTTATCTTTAGTAATTATTCATAACTTTTAATGATCATACAAGATATTTGGATAGATTTATTATTATTTTTTTAATGGAGACATGTCATACTTTTTTCTATTATTATTATTATTTAACAAGAATATTATATATTTTTTATGCTTTTGAGATATAGAATATATTTATTATGATTAAATGTTTTATTTATATGTACTAGAGTAAATGAGGCACTTTGTGCTTTGTTATTAAGTAAATTTTTTTTAGATAATTAGACAAAAATATTAAAAATAATAAGCTGGTAGAGGGCATAATTATGTGGGTGGTGGAATGTTTTGATTTGGTTACATGGGGCATGAGCAGTTACATGATTAGTGAATTAAGTGAGAAGCAGGATAAGTTTAAGTGAGAAAAAAATAAAACAAATAATAAAGGATTAATTATTATGTTATGGGTACATTGGTTCAATAAAATCTAGAAACTAAAATGAGTTATTATAAGAAGTATTTTCTTTATATAATGATAATGATATAGATTAAGAGAAATTGTGAAAAATTACTAGGTTTGATTAAATTTGAATCATAATATCATTATTATAATTGTGATGAATAAAAAAAATTATGAAAAAAAGTTGCACCTTCTTTTGAAACAAAACTAAAAAGAGAAGTTGTGAAAATATTATAAAAAGATGTGTAATTTAATTTTTTAATATAATTTCTTTAGCAGCTATAATAAATGTATAAAAAAATTGTAATTAATAAAGATAATAACATAATTTAAAAAAATTAATGTTATCTTAAATTTTTAATTAGTCCCAAACAAACAATTATTTTTCTGAGTGAATAATAAATAAAGTAGAAAAGAGTCTTGCGCTCTTGTTAGCATCAATCATATAAAAATATTCTTCTCATTAACTGTATATTAAAATTACAGTTTGATTGGATAAATTTTTCTATAAATACTTGTAGAAGAAAAATAATAAGAGGAAAAAATAAAATAATTTTTCTGTAAAAAAATAAAAATATTTTTTTATGAGTTGAAATTAATTTATTCATAAACTAAGTTGCAAAAGTTTTTTCATATTAATTTTTAAAATTTTATTTTTAACTTATGTATAAGTTAATTTTAACTTATAAAAAATATTTTTTTTATAATTTTTATTGTATCAGTACTTATCCAAATAGTTTACACGACTAGACCCTTATCTATTACTTTGTTTAGGAAAATGTACGCGATTTAGGATATATTTGACTAGAGTTTGACCCTTTCCGCTCCAAAAGAACATTTAGAGTAAAACAATACAAAAGAGTGAAAGAGTATCCTGTAACAAAATTTAATGCAAGATTGATATTCATTATACAAATATGCACTTAGTACCTTAACAAAAACAAAAAAAAAGTCTATGTTGCTCTAAATATACCGGCACATCAGATTTATTTTTTATGTTTAATATTGATAGAAAAGGAATGACACAGATAACTATTGAGCATTAAATCCCTCAAATTAAGTATTACTGTTTAATTTGACTTAGGATTTTACTTATTAAGTTAAAGGTCAATAGTCCACCGAAAGATTTAGTTTTTACCTATAAGAAATCTTTTTGAAAAAATATGTTCACTAAGTAAAATTTTAATAATCTCAAAAGGTGTCAAATTCACGTCATAAAAATGTAAAACACAAACTTAAACCTCTAACCATTTGTGCCAACCAACCAAGCACATCAATCTGGATATACACAAGTTTTCTTATATAATAATTGTGGTAATTTGTATAAGAAAAAACAATATTTTCAAAATTAAACTAACTATCAAACCATTTAAAGCATTAGTTCAAAATTCTTCAACTGTAAATAAATTGTAGTCGAATAAGTAATAATAATGGCATAACAAAAACTAAATAATATGTAAATAATGTTAAAAAATATAACATAATAATTTTATAACACTATAAAAACTGAAAATAAAACACTATTTTATACATTATTAGCATTCAAAATTAACATAAAAGTCCAAATAAGCATATAATAATATTTAAATTTAAACTTGAACAATACCAAACAAGGTTCATTTTTTTAACTACAAATTTTCATCTTACTTTTACATTGTTTCTTATTTTTAAAATTTGGTATAAAAAATAGTAGGGGAAAAAAACACTATTGATATTGTTTTCTATTAAAAAAAAAGTTGAAACAGAAAATAAGATTAAAGGAAAATGTGTTATTCTTTAAGGTACATCCTTTTTCTTCAGAAGACCTAAATCTTATACCGAAAACCATTCAGAATCTGATCGACAAAATTAATTGTATTCTGTATTTCCTACTTGCAAGTGATATTGTATATACATATATTCACACTGATGCATGCATACATGCATGTGTGCTTATAATGGATTAAAACAAACACACAGTGGACAGAGAAGATTCTGATGATCATCATCAACAATAACATTATAAATCCCTCAGATACAATGTATTATGATTTCAGCTAGCTTACAACAAAACAATTTCCTCATCAGTTAGTACATGTTAGTTTCACATTTTGGTGAAGACTAACAGTAACAGAAAAATAACACTTCCCAGTGCACTTTCAAAGGAACCAAATATTTGGCCAAGAATCTACAATTCACCTTCCAAATGTGTAACCAACACAGCCGTCTGTGGCCATATGTTCCATTACAACTTCTAAGAATTTTAAAAGAAATACAAATCTAACCTCACCTCAAAGTCTTAGACCCTGTCTTGAGGGAAAAATCCTTGGCACCGAGATGGTTTTAACCAGAACCAAGTCTTAAAATGAGGAAATGACCATTGGGGGAAATTCTTTGCTCCCCCCATTTCCACCATTTATAATAAAGGCAAAAACATGATGAAGAACAACGGTATAATCCACAAAGCATGACAAGGGCTTTGCCAAAGCTAGCTTTGCTGCCTGCAATCTACGATCTGGAGTCTGGACTTCGGTTGATCAAGTTGTTACCTTTTGGTGTCGTTGTTTATATCATGCGCTAACAACTCCAGAGGCCCATTGAACAATCCCTGGTGCAGATGGGCGTAAATTTCGATACCATTCAGGATACCGATCCTTAAAATTTAGTTTCGGCTTCTCAGCCTGTGTTCACAATCCCAAGAAAAGTATATTAGCAGGGAGGGAAGAGGAAAAACTACACAGATTTTTAGAATTGTCACTGCCGCACCAATCAATTAGAAATCATCCTAGAAGTTTTAAAATAATTATTATAAAAGTCAATAAACTTGTCAGCTATCATTCATGAAGTTCTATAATTGGATGACAGTGTATAAAACTTTTACACTGTCCATATATTTTATTTTTAAGTTCTTTTTGGAGCAGACGATATTTTGAAAGTTTAGGAGTATGCTTTAAGATCTCAGAAAATAAATAATCAAAGGTTATTAAAAGTTTGTTTGAATACCAGCTAGAAATGTTTTTGAGAACTCTTTATTGGAAAACAAAACTCTTTATTTTCGGGAACTCTTTATTGGAAAACAAAACTCTTTATTTTCGGTAAAGAAGCTTTCAAAAACACTTATAAACTTATCTCGAAACAGGTTCTAAGCATTCGACATAGAGGTGGGGCAAAGTTGTGAATCACGTTCATAGGGTGCATCTTACATATTTCAGCCAGCATTCCTGATATTTGTGCTGATAGACATCTGGCGAATGACACCCAAATTCTGATGGGCAATAAACCCAAATATTGCATTTCTTTTCACCTTCTTTGGCACGTTTAGCCTGGTTTAAGCAAGCCTGACAGCAATCAGCTGCACTGTCCTTGTGATGATTAAGACCCCATTGTACTGCAGTGCCGTCATAATCCGTATGAAGTTCAGCATTGCATTCAGGTGGAAGGGGCCTGCCGGGGAGAACTTCCTCCCCTGGACAAAATGTAGGCTCAGTATAAATACATATATTAACTTACTGCATAGAAAAATATGTTCACACTTCCAGATTCTAATACAGAGCATGCAACATGAAGACCTATTTGAATAAGCTTCTCTAAAAGTATTTTTAGAAGAGAAAAATAAGAAGAAAAATCAAAATAAGTTTTTCCATAAGCTGAAACTAGTTTATACACGAGTTAAAAATAAGACTTTGGAAAAACTAAAAGGAGAAAGCTTCTATAAAATAGTATATGCATAAGCTAATTTTAACTTATAGAAAAACTTATTTTATATTTCCTTCCTATTTTGTTCTCCTAGAAGACCTGGGAGAAGTTTACTCAAAACAGGTCCTAAGTTGCTAACAGATTCCAAGATTACGAAAGATATGTGGCGGGGGCGGGGGGGAGTTGTTTTGACTGGAGAAACTAGTACCTAACTCCTCTGCACCCTCAGGTTTATCATTATGTTCTTCATTAGCAACCACAGTAGGTATCCAAAGGCCAATTTCTTCAGAAAGCACAGCCCAATCAGACTGCAAAGCTCTTACTAGCATTCCTAGGAAATTGATATACACATTAGATACAAGGTGCAAAGAGACAAGCTTCATCTAAGTGACACAATTTATTCAAATGTCAGAAACAAAACAGAAAAATTTGCTCATACCTGCCTCTTCATGGGGAATGGTTGAGTTGGAAGTCCCTCTGGCATCAGCCAACTTAAGCTCCTCCAATTTTTCCTTGCGCCAATTTTCAATTGCTTCTGCATAGAATGAGTCAACGTTAAAAATATAACAGCAATAAAATATCTTTCAAATTCTTCATCATTTGCATAACTACCAATTTTAGTGTCTAAAAATAAAATATTAGTCCCCACTCCGCATACCCCCCAGGCCCCCACCCAACAATAAAAAACCTTCTAATACAAAAGATGAACCTCATTTTAACACACAATTTGGCCACATGATATCAAAGAAACAATTGGGAAAGATAAATTACATAAAACTGTTCAAACAAAAGAGTAAAGGAGACTTTCTTTTTCCTTTTGGTCTAACACCAAAAGCTGTGGCGTGTGGGAATAACATAGGAAACCGAAAGAAATTTTTTCACCTTTTAACAATTAACACCAAGAGCACAATCATTTGGAAGTGGATACACGTGTACAAATCTACATGCTATGTAATGGCATGAGGAAAAGAAACAATCATACAGGCTTCCTGCAAAAAGCTACGCCTTATTAAAATATTTCTCTCTTGTTTTCTATTCACCTGCTTCCCAATCCCCCCAAAAAATTGATAGATCCAAGTGATTCAACAGTTCCAGATGGAAGATTCTACTGGACATCATAAAGTCCTATACATTGACTTGCAGCCTAAAATAATGTCACTCACCCCTCCCTCACATTTTAACTGCATACTCTAATACACTTGTTGGTCTCTCTACCCTTATCTGTGCATGATAATCTTTAACTTCTATTTCATCAGATATTTCATGAAAAATAACAAACATTTTAATTAAATAGTGTGATCTAATTTGGTAAAACAAAAATTATAGAACTGTTAATTACATACATCAAATTTTAAATATTTTAATTAATCAATCATCATCATCAGTCTAAATATGACATGAAAATATTGAATAATTTTGTTGTTCCGTAAATCAAATACATAGTGAGAATTTTGGGCAGTCATGAGTGTTACGATGCCCCACATTGGTTAGGAATATGACCAAAATACTGTTAGCTTTTGAAATTAAATTAGGCATATTCCATTTTTAATAGTGAGGACTAGGTCACTTGAGGCATGCATTTTTTACTAAAGACTTTTTATATATTAAATTAAGAGCAATGGTTAAGAAATCAATAAATAGAAGGTTTTTAATAAAAATCAAGACAGACATTTATTGGTAACATTAAATGTTACTTTCCAATGAAAATGCTCCATTTTGATAAGCACTGTCCAAGGAAATGTTTCGTGAAACCGTTTTACTAAATATAAGAACTTTTAAGTTTTGTGTGATATACATCCATATCAAACGAAGGGGGAGGGGGGGAGGAATGAAATGTAATACCATCAAATGCTCATGCCAGGGTAAATATACTATTTTTAGAATAAAATAGGTGTTTTTAAACAATATTTGAAAATAAGACACTTCCATAATCCCACTTCTACCTTAAACTCACTTCTCTCATTTCAATTTTATTTATACTATTCCTCACTTACATTAATGCCTACTTCAAGAAGAAACATAGTAAAGGCATACTACTGAATAATTTTTCCATAGTTCCACTAAAACATAAAGAAAGTCTAAATTTTTAAATATTTTGATAGTGCACACTATCCAAATGAATAAATCCATTTTCTTATTAAATATTTAAACTTTTTGTCTCAACTCTCAAGGCTATGTAAAACGATCTCCAGAGGGAGTAGATGAGTGATTGCCAATTTCAAGCATTATGTTACATTAATAACTTGGAAAACTATTGTCCCTTTATGTCAGAATAAGAGTCAATCAAGCAATAAATTGTCATGACAATGTCATCCAATCATACCATGAAGTTAATAAACACCTTCTCATTCAACCAGATAAATATATCCAGAAGTAGTTTAGATAGATCAAAATCCCACCCACCCAACTGATATTTGAATTGGGACAAAAATTAATAAAATTCAAATGGTCTGTTTCTAAGTTTAAGATTCAAAAAACAAAAAAGAAAAGAGAAAAGGACACTAAATGATCATATCAAAGCAATTTCCTCAAAAACAGTTAAAATGGAAAAAAGACTGAGAATGTGTCTTCTAATTGTAACCTGACCAAAGATTTACACTAAGCAACTGTACAGTGCAATTTACACTTGAAACATCAAACATCTAGTTTCCTCATTGAACAAATATTACACTAAATGACTAGCCAGCAAGCAACAAGAACTTTGAAATAGAAAAAAGGTAACATATATGAATAGTTGAATACATCATATCTAAACAAATTCATGTTTGCTGCAGAACTTTTAACTACACAGCAGTTATACAGCACAGGGAGCAACAAAAAAAAGTATGCTCTTCAGGATAGCGAAACATCAAATCTTAGTGGTCTTATTAATATGAGATCCTGATACTCTTGCAAGTTGCACCATATAGCAACATCATTAATTCTAATACCTATTCAAATAAACCAGATTCCAATAAGTTCACAATGGACATATCTGACATTCCACATATACTTCAGGAAAACAATCAAGTTGGCCATGAAAAATTGGTAATACTCTGCATTGTACACTGCCCCACCCCCTAGAAATGAAATTGACCAGTTAAAGATTATAGTTCCAACCACCCTTTTTGCTAAAATCCAAGTCTTAAGGTGAAGAATATTATCAATAGAAAAAGCTTCTCAATTCTCATGCTTAATTATAGAAGGAATAACAACAGATTCTTATCAGCACAATCTACGAGTACTCACTCACCTCGCTCCTTAGCCATGCGCTGAGAGTGAGACATGCTTTTGCTGCTTCCATTCATGCTTCCTAGTCTCTGCAAGACCTCGTCAATTATTTCCTTTTTCAACTGCCGAGGCAACTCAACCACCACATTTTCCCTTGAAAACTCCCCTTCGAATTCCTTCACCTACTTGCACAAGTTTTACAACATCAACTTGAGGTTAACTTCACAATAAGTATTTGCTCGGGCCACATACTAGAAAATGGTTCATACTTCATAGCTCATACCAATTTCATTAACTCCACGGGTTTGTATGTCTTCCGAATTTGATCAGACTCTTCCATCTTCCGAATCTGATCTGGCCTATACACCACAACTGAAAACATACACAAGCCAAACCAAATCAAAAAAGGTAGGCAGAAATAAAAAAACTAAACTTTCCCAGTCTCTAACAAGACCCTTTTAAGGGGCCTCAAAATTTACCATAAAGCAGAAACTTTTTGTTACCCTTTTGATTGTGCTATTTGGGGAAACAGAAACATAAACAAGACAGAAAGAAAAACTCAAAAACATCCTCAAAAGTAAGACAAGACTCACTTTTTCGTGCAACGCTGCCAGAATAGATATAAAGAGAAGCATAGAGAGAGCGAAGAGAATAGAGAGCAACCACAATGTTGAAAAAGCAAACTAGAAGAGTGATTTTCTTGTAGGAACAAATCGAGTTCCATTTATGGTGAAGCTGAACCCTCCACTCCCCTCTCGCCATTTCCCTCCCTTCTTCTTCTCTTCCCTTTTATCCTCATCCCACCATTGCCCACTTTCTCTTTCCGATTCAAACTCAGAAAACGTTGCGGCTTTGGTAAATTCAAGGTGCAATATTGCGACCCCAAAATATAATTAGATCGTGGGTAGCTACTATTTTTTGTTGTGGGGAGTGGAACATTGAAAGTTTGAAACAGAACCGGTCGGGTGCCAACGTAGGTTTTGTCGTATGAGAGTGATGGGAATTTGATGGATCAGCTAATCATTTTGGTGGTTTCCCTCATCATTAATGGTGGACCTGCTGCTCCTGCTAAAATGCGCTTCCGATTCAAACAACCCCGTGTTTCCTGTTCATGGCAGCTACTGTGCGCCTCTGCCAGAATAAAAAATGATGTAATCATGAAGTAATATAAAAAAATATGTAATCATATATAAAGAGATACCTTTTCAGTAATTACTTTAATTTTTTTATTATTTATTATTATACTTTTTTATTTTTAATTTAATATATTAATTATAATATTAATTAAATTAACATATTTTTATTATTTTATTATTATTTTTTTTTTTTAATAGAGGTACAAAGTACCGCTACGTAGTAATTGAGTTATATCTACTTATATTTATAATTTAATGGTTAATATTTTTTTATATAAGTTTAACATTTTATGTCAATATTAATATCATTATGCTTATAAAATAAAATAAAACAACTATATCAATAATTTATGGAAACTTTGCTTCAAAAAAAAATAATTTATGGAAACTAAATACCTTTATATATCTACTTATGTTGAAACATAAAACCACTCTGTCAACATGCTTGTAATTTAGTATCAGTTTGAATTTTAAATTTTCTAACTGTATAGTTTTATTGGTGTGAGAATTTTTCTTTTTATTAAAATTATTTGTTCACTTAGGTGATTACACTTGCAAACTAGCTAAACATTAATTAAATAATGTAAAGAAAATATTAAATAAATATTATAATTTTAATTTTGTTTCCTATAAATATTATTTATATAATAATTCATAAAATAAATTATAGAAAAATATAAAATATAATAAATAATGTCATAAAGATATATAGATACATAAATTATCTTCATACAAAATTCTAAAAATAATGTATAAGTAATCGTTTGATAACACAAATCTTTCTATTTGTTACATTGCATTATAAATATAACGACCTATCATGATCTCCACACTAAATGACACAATTACTAACTTAAGATTATATACTTCCAAATACTATAATAAGTATAATGTTGCATACATATAAGGATGAAATGACTACTCCAATATATGCAATATACATACAGTAATCCTACATATGTAAATATACAATTAAGTTGTCAATCAAGTAACTATAATTATCTACACAAATCTACCACCAATAGGTAGTCATCAAACACATTCAACCCCAACACCACTGTACGACCTCTAATGTAACACTTTAGCCCTATCTTTATCCTACTTTTATACTACATATGATCATCGCAGTCCAAATTATATAAAAACATGCAAAGGTAAGCTACGAAAAAAGAAGAAGAAGAAAAAAAAAAAAAATATATATATATATATATACACACACATACACAACATAGGAACATCACATCATCCCATCTTTGACAACACAACAACAAAGCATTACTATATACAACACAGATCAACATAATCCAACTTTGATTCAATACAACAACACATTTCATCATAGTTCAACATAATAATACAAAGGAAAGACAAAAAAAAAAAAAAAAAAAAAAAAAAAAAAAAATATATATATATATATATACACACACATACACAACATAGGAACATCACATCATCCCATCTTTGACAACACAACAACAAAGCATTACTATATACAACACAGATCAACATAATCCAACTTTGATTCAATACAACAACACATTTCATCATAGTTCAACATAATATATGAATAACGCAATTAACTCAACACATCATATGTTCAATACAACAACTATATATGTCATTACGCATTTTTACTAGGAGATCTCCTACAACACACGATGAATAACTTAAGTGGCTTGATCCCACCGAACCGATAACATTGTGTGATCTTTTCGAGCTTGCTAGATCAATAGCCAATTGGATATAAATTCACAATACAATGACTTAGTTTCTCGGATGTCACCACTTAAATGAGAAAGTATAGTACTAATGTCAGGATAGAACAATTGGATACGAGCCTATCGCGACATTAGTTAACTTAACTAAGCCTCCTATGGGATTAGCCCACCAACTATCCTCCAAATACTATAACTTTTTGATACTCGATTAGGAACTAAGTCCCCGACCTCATACTTTACTCAGTTGGTTACTTGTAATCGGTATAGCTCGACCTGATTCTTATACTATGGTCGTTTCATACACGTATGCCTCGACCTTGCTTACACAGTACCAACAAAGTCCTAAAGGAGAAACAACACATTATCCACTTCAAGTATCAACTTCCCAATAAAGGTTTTTCAACAAATTGGATTATTAGAGCACCACAACACAATATTCACACAATGAGATATGCAACTTTCGAAAATATCTCCTATAGTCCTAAGTGGTCAACACAACTCAACAGATCATTATAATTTTCAACACAACAACTCAATCAACACACAACCTTTTAACTCATCACCATCATCACAACTCATTTACAACATTACGATTAACATGCATCTCAACAACACATCAACATTGTTCATATAGAATCCTAATATAGCTACACAACTTCACTCATACTACTTAACTCAACTTTCAACTTCACATCATGTCAACTTAATCAACATACATATTTACAACATTCACATCTTAAGAAAACAACTACATAAATCAATTTAAACAACTAGAATGACTTACAACTTAATCATCTTTCACTTATTATGCAATGACAAAGCAATGCATAGAAAGTTTTACTACTCCTGTCATGCTCATCATTATCTCATATGAAAGACAAGAAGATTTTCTACAACTTTCATGAAGAACTCAGGTTCTAATTCCATCATCTACCATGTTGAAAATTGTAAAAACCGCGACAATTTGTCTAAATGTTGACAACTTGACCTTTATTCACTAAAAATGTCATAATTGGAGTTCTAAACTTCCTTTTTAGGTGATTTTAAAGTCATTGGAAAGCTAACATCCAAGACTACAACTTCCATGAAGACATCAAGATCAAATTTGATCATCTACCCCAACCACTGCAACGCTCAATTCAGCGCTTCAATGTTTGATTTCTATTAGCTCAATTTCTCCCCATGGCTACAACACTCAACTATGGTTGTAGCACTGGATCTCTATCATTGCAATTTCCTCCACCGCTACAACACTCAATCGTAGCTGCAGCGTTGGATATCTGCCATCCCATTTTCTCTCACAACTGCAACACTAAGTGTAGAAATTTTATACACCTGCATGGCTTCCTCCTTCATTCCTCATTTGTATTTCACCAATTTTCCTCCTAATCACAATCTTTACTCATTATCTCTACTATATTCATTCATGCAATCCATTAACCACAAGAAAAAATAATATGCAAGCACCAAAACTCAAAGAAATCATCAACATTTTTAACATTTCATCTCCATAGTTACAAATTTTAGAATTTTTATTAACATTAAACTTTTAATTCATTCAACAGTCCAATGTTTCAACCCAATCCCCAAAATTTCAGCTTTCCTTATCCTGATTTCGAGTTCTTTGAAAAAAAAAAGAAGAAGAAAATGGAGGACTCCGAGAGCTCTAGCTAGTTGAATAAAGCAAAAAGGGAGGGGGAAAAAGAAACAACTTCAGGCTTCCAAGGTAGCACCCCACTACTACCACAACTTGTTTTTCCTCCTTCATGGTTCAGTCATAGAGCTCTCAAACACTCTCGAATCTATGAAGAGAAAAAGAAACTCAAAAGGGAGCGCTATAATAAAAAGTTTCATTTTTTGTGTATTTTTTTTTTGGTTTGTCCCTGGAGTATTCACCGCTGATAGTAGTGACTAATCTCCTCGCTACGTTGGAGGCACCTCAAAGGATGGGATAGCTGGCCCCAAGATTTAACGCGACTGTATACACAAGGCAGGATTTGAACCCCTGACCTTGCTTAAGCGTGGATCAACCCTTACCGCTGAACCACACGTTTAGGGTTTATTTTTTGTGTATTAATAAATGGGTGCCAATTTGTCATTTTAATTTTTAGAAAAATATAATAGATGAAAATATGTGAAAAATAAAATAAATTTTAGGTGTTTAGTTTGAAAAATAAGAAATAAAAAAAAATAGAAAATATGCTTTTGTTGGTTTTTTTTACGGGTTGCTTTTGCCGTTTTCAAACTATAAAAGTATGGTGCACAAATAATTTTCTTTGATAATTTGAAACCATTAGAAATAAATCATACAAAATCTGCGAGACGGTATTATTATTAATTTTTTTAGGGTAAAAAGTTATTATTGTTCATTTCTCTCAATAGAGAATACAAATTAATAAGTGTGAGAAGCAAAAAAATAATAGATGGTAAAAATTATCATAATTTTATTGTTTAAATATATTTTTATGTAAAATAAACAAATTTTAATATTGATCTCGTTAAAAAAATTTATTTTTCATCTTTCTAAGATTTATAAATATTATTTCTGTTGCTTGTAAAAATTGCTTTTATTTCCTTTAATATTATTTCTAGTGCTTGTAACACTATTTTTGGTTTTTAACAATAATTTTAAAATAAATAAATAATGCTTATTTTAAGAACCTATAAAAACAATTAAAATTATTACACACTAATATGATATCACTAATAATTATGAAAAATAAAATTATGTAACCTTTTAACAAACAAACAAGTAGTTAAAAATATTATATAATAGAAACTAAAACTATAGTTCTAAATTTTATAGGAATAAAAAATAAAGAAAATTTTGATAGAATTAAAATTAAAATTTATTCATTTTATAAATTAAAAATATATTTAAATCTTTTTATTAATATTTATATAATATATAATTGAGTATTATTATTTTTATAAATTAAAAAATATAATTATTTGTCATGTAAAAGCTAATTGGAATCATCGACATTTAGTCTAACCTTTTGTTAAGACTACATTTAATTTTTTTATTTTCTATTTCTATCTTACCAAATAAGAAAATTTTATTTTCTTTCCTCTATTTTTCTCTCTTTTTTCTTTATTTTTCTTCCATTTCTTGTTTGCTAAAGTAATGATTTTTTAACTTATACATTTTTTTCAAAAGAAAAATCCTTGTAGCATGCTTTTATAGAAAAAAGAATAACAGAATGATAGTAAATTACACAAATAGAATGTGTATATGTGTAACTTATTTAATTGAGTTGAATTAAGAATTAATTATACATATCTTATCCCTTAAAAATATTTTTAGTAGGACTCGTCGTAAGCTTTACAAAATGAAAGGGAAAAAACAGTAAATGTAAAATGCATAAAATACATTATAAAAGACTAGCGGAAAGAGGTATTCCATGCTTCTAAATATTTTTAAGAGTAAAGTAAACAAAAAAAAATATACTAGTGTGAGCAATTATTTAGAGTTAGTTAATGACGATTCTTAAAACTATTTATTTATTTTTAAAAAAATTAAAGGTATATTGTGGAGAGAAAAAATGATTACGAAAAGAAATATTTCCTTTATCTATAAATTGTAGAGTTTTTTACTCAAATAATACTATTTTAAAAAAAATTACCTAAATAGTAACTGTGCAAATTTATTTTCTCAACTAGCATTATTTACTATTCACGTTTCGGAACGGGCCGTTATGAAATCAGAACGGGCCGTTCCGGATTAAAAAAATAACACATGGAAAACAAATGAGAACGTGCCGTTCCAAAATCAAAATTAGTACATAAAAAGTGAAACCAAAACGGCCCGTTCTGCTTTCAGAACAGGCCATTTTGACCTAAATTTTTTTTTTCGATTTTCACTTATCAAATACCAAAACTCAGAAACTAACATCAAATAATTAAATTTATTGAATATTAACATTATAAATATATCTAAATAAATTTATTAAAATTCAATACAACAATAAAGATCAATGGTGGCAAAAACTGATTATGTTGTTCTCTAATGTCCATTTCTGTTTTAATCCTGCTAGACTTTGGCCGACCCTTGAAAGTTTGCTTGAGTTCTGGATTTGGCCACAAAGTTAGACCAGTGTAAGTAGGCCAATAATCTTCATGTCAGAGCTCTCCACAAAGTTTGACCCGCTGGGAGATTTACAGTAAGGCTAAATGAAATGTGGTATGATTGCGGCAAGTTCCAAAAATGTATACGAATGACAGTTTGGAGAGCTCCGACATGAAGATTATTGGCCTACTTACACTGGTCTAACTTTGTGGCCAAATCTAGAACTCAAGCGAACTTTCAAGGGTCGGCCAAAGTCCAGCAGGATTAAAACAGAAATGGACATTAGAGAACACCATAATCAGTTTCTGCCACCATTGATCTTTATTGTTGTATTGAATTTTAATAAATTTATTTAGATATATTTATAATGTTAATATTCAATAAATTTAATTATTTGATGTTAGTTTATGAGTTTTGGTATTTGATAAATGAAAATCGAAAAAAAAAATTTATTTGTAGGTCAGAGCAGCTCGTTCTGAAAGCAGAACGGACCGTTCTGGTTCCACTTTTTATGTGCTAATTTTAATTTTGGAATGGTCCGTTCTGATTTGTTTTTCATGTGTTATTTTTTAATCCGGAACGACTCGTTCTGATTTCAGAACGGCCCGTTCCGTAACGTGAACAGTAAATGATGCTAGTTGGAAAAATAAATTTGCACAATTGCTATTTGGGTAATTTTTTTTAAAATTGTATTATTTGAGTAAAAAACTCATAAATTGTATCACTTCATTGTTAAATATTAAGAAGATTTTAAGAGAATAATGATACACATCTTAATATTGAGATTTTTTTTGTATTAAAATAAAAAAAAAATTATAGTTTTGATTCAAATAATATTTAATTTGTAATTATGCTTATTATTCTTCAACTATACAATTTTAATTCATTAAATAGATCTCCATTAATTAATAATATTATATCATTCTCATAATTTTTTGAAAAAATAATTATGATATTAACGTAACACATATTTCATATTTAAAATCAAATTTCAAATTTTGAATAATATATAATAATAATTTTTTTACATTAATATTTTAAAATTTTATCTTAGGTTAATCAATCGACTAAGTTAAATTTAATTAAGAACTATTTCTACCAAAAATCAAATTCGAGTATTATCAAACCATTCATTATTAGAATCTATACATTATCCACTTGTGTTCTAGAATTTGTTTATACGAGATTGCTAAAAGCTCGGATAGGATACTTGCGAACCGCCAACGATTTGAGAAAACCCGACCCGGAAGTTTTCTTGGGGTGCGATCAGATGAAAAATGGCGGGAAAATTTTCTAGGGCACAAAAAAGCAACTGACATAAATTTGCTTCCACACTGTTTCTTCTCTCTCGCTGTTTGAACGATGGACATCAATGACAATTGGGAGGACGAAGACGACGAGTTCGAGTTCTCGCGGAACTATTTTCTTGCGAAGGAACTCGCTTCATCCTCCAAGAAATCTAAGTCAAAACACAAGCTCACTGACATCACCGTCGTTGATGAACAGGTTCATCTCCTAATTGTTTGTAGTTCTCAATGTTTTTCAATTCCCCTTACTTCTCTCCAATCGCCCTGCGATTTCGTGATTGTCTAGGAATTGAGGGAAGCCGCGTCGCAAATTGAACCCAAGCATGAAGCTGAGATCGCTCTCTTGTTGGATTCCTATGAGACTATGTATCCTGAATGGCTTTTCGCGCTAAGGTTCGTTTGGATGTGTTGATTTTCTCGAAGTGCTTTTATTGTGCGATGTTAAACCTTTTTTAGGTTACTTGGGTGATTTAGGTGTGGTTTTGGGCTTCTGATGTATGGCTTTGGATCTAAGAAGGCTCTCATTGAAGATTTTGCTTCAACGGCACTGACTGAATATTCTGTAGTTGTTATTAACGGATATCTTCAAGCCATTAACTTGAAACAGGTTTTTTCCCCCCTAAAATTTCTCATTCAAAAGATAACTGTGATTGAAGTTTTTTTAATGTGGCAAAAAAAGAGCGATAAAACCTTGTTTGTTTACTGTTTCAAAATCAGTTTTCTGTCTTCTAAAATTTGTTTCCTTTGCACGTTTTTGTTTTTTTTTTAAAGTTTGTCTGTCGAGCACTTGAAGAGAACATTTGATGAAAATAGAAGAGGATGAGAATGTATCTCCAAGCTGTTTCTATTTTGGTTTTAAAACATGTTTTAGCAATAATTTTCAAAACTTAACAGAGTTTGGATGAGAAATTGATTGTCGAGTAGTGTGAATTTCTTTTCAGTTTTTTAAACAAAAAGGGAAGAGAATCAAACAGACTGTAAGATGAGAAAGTGTTTTTGGATTATTCTTCAACTACAATTGGAGTCACCCCTTGATAATTTGTGTAAAAATAGTTTGCATTAAAGATTAACATAAGTTACTAAGATAAAACTCTAATTTTGATTAAAGAACAGTATTAAAATGCTTAACCAATTGTATCTAACTTCTGTCCAAAAGTTAATTTTTCTCCGAAGGATTAAGAGTGTGATATAAGCATGTTCTCATCATGCACCACTAATGCAATATATTTATATTAGGTTGTGATAGCTTTAGCTGAAGTTCTATGGGACCAATTGAAAGCTAAACGAAAGGTTTCCAATCGGGACTTGCCCAAGAGCCGGCAGTCATTCAATTCTCAATCCATGGACGATCTTCTTACATTTTTGGATCAAGTGGAACTAGAGGACGGTGACTTTTTTGTTTGTGTTGTTATTCACAACATAGATGGACCTGGATTAAGGGATTCTGATACCCAACAATATCTTGCTCGACTAGCTGCCTGTGCCCGAATTCGCGTTGTTGCCTCTATTGACCATGTTAACGCTCCTCTGTGTAAGTTTTGTTAATGCTATTCCGTTATCTTCTGCAGGATGTTTTTTTCCTTGTAATTCGTTAATGTCATCTTTGGATATGCCTTAAGTATGCTTAGTTATATTATTTTTTTAAGGTTGGAAGTGTCTTCTAAATACTATATTGTCTACTGCAGAATCATTTTGAGTGTTTAAATAGAAGCTTGAATGGTGCAATATTAATTTACAATTAAAAAAGTATTAATGCCTTTTCGTAATGAAATGTTATTTAAGCTTTAGTTTGATCTATGCTGCACATTATTAGAGGTCCTCTGAGGTTCTGAATCTTCTTATCATATGTTCTTATCTCTGTTTCATTGACAATATGACTAAGTGGTATTGCCCTTTCGTAAGGTTGAAAAACCAAAACTCTTTTCGGTCTTACATGGTAAAATACTTATAAGAGGGTTTGGTCATGTGAGAATAAAACCTACAGAAATGCTGGTAAGCGAGTTGATCAAGCGGAGAATAGTCCAATAGTCAGAATTAGAGGTAGTCAGGTAGAGGAAGACTAAGCAAAACTCTACTAGAAATATTAGAGAGGACTTAGATCTAAATAGCCTGTTTGAAGACCCAGTTTCTACAATAATACAAGGCTGTGGGAAATTCCTTTTTGTTATTGCTGTAGGAAAAGTGATGAAGGATATGTGACTCTGAAAGGTTCTTTCTAGTCTGTCTATTGCTGAACAATTTCATCCTCTCTTGGCAGTTTGGGACAAGAATATGGCTCACACACAGTTCAATTGGTGCTGGTATCATGTTCCTACTTTTGCCCCTTACAAGGTTGAAGGCATGTTTTATCCTCTGATTCTTGCTCATGGCAGCGCCAACCAAAATGTCAAAACAGCTACAATAGTTTTGCTAAGTTTGACACGCAATGCCCAGAGTGTATTTAAAGTTCTTGCCGAACATCAACTCTCTCACCCTGAAGAAGGCAAGTTTCTATCATTTACTTGGATATTTTGTTCTTTTCATATCAATGGTTTGTTGAATATTTTCCTTTATTTTACAGGAATGCTAATCAATGATCTCTACT